ATATCATGTTTTTGCGCACTAACCATAAATTCAATTCAACAGCAATATCATATAATTTAAAAAAAGCATATTTTTTGAATTTCCGATACATAGTCTCGCGCGCTAGAGATGAAAGTGTTTTTTGCCATTGCTCGCTTTGAAATCGTGGTTTTTAATCAAAATCATAAATGCTTTACAAAATATGATATATGAAATGGATAGTAATACAAATTCCCAGTTCCAAATTTGGGCCTCCCTGCCTATATTAGGATGGAGGATTCGTTATTCAATTTCATGGCTCTAGGTACCGTTGTTTTATCACAGTGGAGAAACATTCATACATTCTGCAGATTCCTCCTTATTAATTTCTTTAAATATAATAGAGTGCGATAATACTTGGTGCAACGATTGAAAGTGAACGCCACAAAATGGCAAAACGAAATTAATACTTTCTGGCTAAAAAACTTATTTGTAAAAGTATCACACTAGTAGTAGTACAACTACTGAAAAAAATATTTAAATCTATTTTATAGTTTTATAATTATTATTATTATTATTTTAATTTTATTTAGTGTGAATTTCGGTAATAATGAACGACATTTTTGTGTTCATTATTATTCGTAAGGTATTCAACTGTAGATTAAAGTAACGCAATTCTGCTGTTAATAAATCGAGTAGAAGCTTTCGGATGTCTATATTTGTATAAATGAAGAAGGTTTATGTGCTTGATAAAATTATTACTTCTACATTTTTTAAAAAAGCGTACAATTATTTATTCTATAATTTCAGGAATAGTATAACCTTCTTTCAGTAGAAATTGCGTTCTTGTTTTCTGATTGTGGCTCCAAATACTCTCTCAGTTCATCCAAATTAAAATACTATAAATTTTGGCAATCTGAAATACGCAATGAAAACATCTTTGGCAGAGCAAAAGCATCAACATATTTCTATAAATTCGCCATCGATTCAGAGATCTACGACGGTATTCTTCGTTAAATAGGAAAAAAATCAGTGCGAAAACACATACAAAGCCATTGTCTACTTAGTACGTCAACTGGACAACCCTGATGACGACGCGGCAACACTTTTTCACGCGCTTTCGACAACTTCCGTACTCAGAGAATATAGGATGTTGGCAGACATGTTTTTACTAGCAGCGACATCTGGCGGCCCACAACTTGCTGTCGACTCTCGTAGCGTAGAATAACCGTCCTGGTGTGATGGTGTGGGGCGTTATTTCTTATGACAGCAGCTCATCTTTAGTCATTCTCCGTACATCTTTAACAGTTCAACGATATGTTGATACCATCCTGCGACCGTTGCATTACCCTTTATGGCACGTCATCCTGAGGTCATTTTCCAATAAGATAATGCCAGGCCACATACCGCTCGCATGTCTCTGGACTGTTTCCGTGCGGTCGATACTCTTCCTTGGCCACGAAGGTCACCAGACCTTTCACTAATCGAACATGTCTGGAACATGGTAGGGCGCCAGATTCGGGCACCACAAAATATCGCAGATCTGAAGCGACAACTGATGAATGCCTGGCAAAATGGATGAAATTAGGAACCTCTACCACTCCTTGCCTCGACGAATTCAAGCATGCTTTGCCGTCAAAGGCGGTTCGACCAACTACTAATTTGAACACTCAATTCATGATTATGAGCCGTGAACAGGTACTATGACCTTCATTTCTTAATAATTTTGTTATCTGTGTAGAGCTATACACATATTCAGTTTCATCAAAAAGAACCACTTCATGGTGCTTCGATTGTTTTGCAAAAGAGTGTATTTTTTCAATCTAAAAGCAGTATCCATTCAACTAACCATTCATTAATGAACGTTTTGAACAATCCGCAGTGGCTTCAAAAGAAACAAAAATCCACTGAGTAATAAATCGTGATTTAAATGCTTAAATACTGATTCTAAATATATCATCTGTCTTTAGAGGAGAGTGATGAGAGTTAAAGCTACCTGAAAAGAATCAGTTAACTTAAAGTTTGTGCAGGCTTCTAAAATTGCAAATATTAAGCTAAAAATTTGCTTTTTTTAACCTGATTTGAAAAATACTTTAAATTCAGTATCTTAAGTAATTGAAAATAATTATTTAGTAATTTTAATGAAACAAGAGCTTAAATAATTATTTCTAATCCTGAAAAGTCGTCTAAGCTAAACCTTAAAATGAAATTTATTATGTTATACCAATAACTGAATCTTTGTCTGTTGCTAAAGAAATAGATCAATGGCATATGAGATTTGTATACTTAAACGAAAATGATTGTAAAACATTTTAGTAAAATAACTTATTTAGATGCCTTTTATTTTCTCAATTTAATGCCCTTTTTTCGTGTACGATATGCATTCAACATAAACAAACTATAATCCCCTTTCCTAAAGAATGTAACTGAAGAAATACTGAATTATCAAATCTTATTCATTATGATTTATGTGACCCCATTGAGAATCGAATCATTATATGGATTGTTTTATTTCGCGACTTTTGTTGACGATAAATTTTAATATGTACATGTTTACATTTTTTTAAAATCTGAGAATTAAGTTAAAAGTATTTATAAATTTTTAAATACCTGCTGAAAATAAAGTGAATTTTGAAATCAGCCGGACTCCCCTAAAATCAACATGTGACCAGTACTGAGCAAATAGAAATTACAGACTTTGATTGAAAGCTTGTCAAGAAATAATTTCAAGATTGGATAAACTCTCCTTCCTCGTAAAATCTGATAATGTTAATCACCCTAGAAGAGAAGTTTTCTGTATAATTAATCATATTATTTAAATAAAAAAAGCTCCTGAAAGCAACCAGTCCAAACAGACTTATGAAAAGTCTCTACTGTGTCATCGATAAACTGACCATGTCTTTACTGTATATCTTGCAAAATCATATTTTCGCCGCATTAGAAGCATGGAAACATTTTCCTTATCCATAATCCTGGAGAATCAACCGATTAGTCTACTGTCATCTCTGGGAATGTTCCTTGAATACATCATTTCTACTTCACTGCAGCACAAGTCGCAAATGAATAACATGGTTTCCACCGAGGCCTTTCAAGTAAACACCAATTAATAAGGATTTCAGAATTCATTGGACCAACAATGCACATTAATCTAGTGCAGCAATCCGTATGCTAGACACGGCCAAAGCCTTTGACGGCGTCTGAGATATAGTACTTATTCAGAAGCTTGTACAGATAGAACTTTCCTGGTCGTAGGCTTTAATCATCGCATCATTTATTCGCAACAGTTCTTTCTCAATGAGGAAATAAAATTGCATCTCTTTTCCACGCTCGGTCGGTTACAGTGTCCCCAAAGGTCCGTCCTTGGGCCAGTCCCCTGTTTTATATATCCAAACGACTTTTCAAAGTTTAAACACTGACATCATTACCCGTTTGAGAAAGCAGAATCATGCTCTTAAAAGGACCCAGGAGAAGATTCCGGAAACTGAAAAATGGTGCTAGAAACGGAAGATAAAAATGAACCAGAAAAATTCAAAATCTTTTATATTCAATGTATTATATTCAATGTAAACTGGACTGTAAAGTTACCTTCTTCAGAAAGCAAGTCTCCTTTGTACGTTCGGATAAATACATAGGAGTTTGGTTCAATACAGAAAGGAGTTTTATTCACTTGGCCTACGTACATTAACAGTGTACATCGAAAGTCATATGATAAGGCTCAAAAACTTTTTTTCATTTCTCTTTAAGTGATTCAGAACTTCATCTTAGTAAGTTATCTCTTTATAAGGCTGTTTCTACTTACGTTTTACCAGTCTGGGCAAGTGCGATAGAAAATGAATTGAAGAAGATGAAAGTTCTGCAAGCCAAGTTGTTTCGGATTATTCTGGAGCCCCTTACTTCTTATGAAATTAACATTTGCATTAAGATTTGAAAATTGATACAATAAAGCATCATTTAAACAAGTTTAATGTGAAATTCTACAACACGGAAGCAACCAATAGCACTTCAAACTTCGCTGCTTTTTCTAAATTGCGAAATGTCAGTGGACCATTTTTATTTAATATGTGTGTATGCTACACATCTTCCACGGGGAGAAGGATATGTCACCTGACTTGCTTTTCATCCTCAGCTGTCTGTTCGCAGTCGAACTGCCTTAAATTCTTAAACACTGTATACTTTCATCGTTTGGTGCCATCTAGAGTACTAGGGAAAATTCGGGGTAGGTGGCGGACATGATGAGTGTTCCCAACTGGGAGAGCAGCGTCGAGAAAATTGAGGCTTTCTTGGCATACTAGACTTTCCTAGAAATTTTGTTTCTGAGGCAGAACATTTTTGCTAAGACCTTTGTAGGAAGGAGTTTTGCAGGTAGTTTATACTTTATAATCACGATAGTAGTTTTCTAAAATGTATTTCAAAATGTACATTTACTTATACGGGCAGAAGCAAACAGATTCTAAAATGCTTTCAAAACTATTTGCAATCCTTGTAACTGATTTCATCTATAATTTATTATTTGAATATTATTTTTGATTGCTGAATCTCTTCCAATATTTCTGTCAGTTTTATTTTACGAAGAAACCGTCCCATATAGTGACACTGAACCACTTCGAGATTCGCTTTCCATTCTAGTGCACTGAACGCTGAACAGATACAGTTTATAAAGTGCGAAAGTTGTTCTTAATATTAAAATTCATCGATGAATAAAGAAGATTGATGGATGTCATCAATGCCTCTTTTCTTTCTTTTCCAGTTGTTTCGGACGCAAGGCTGAAATTTGAAATACTTGACCTCAAGTCACCTAATATGGCCGTTACTTAAATAGAGTAGAATTTTGAATAAATTCGATAAGTGACGCTTATGCGATTGAGAAACGCGCATACAAATAACACTTCATTTGTCTTAGGAAAAATGATCGAATCGTATTTGATGCTATTCCGTTGCAACAGTTAGGCATTTTTAGCTTATTTAACATCAGTGTACTAAATATATTTTGAAAACATGTGAGTAATTGATTTTCTAATTGAATTATTGTTTAATTTACTTACAAACACATGGCGTTTTTGTCAACTTCTTCACCTTCCGCTGGCAGAAATTCTGTCAAATGTCTGTAGGCGACATATGCTGCTTCTGCTTCCCTTTTACATTCCATTTTCGGGTCATCGAAATATTCGCTAGTACAGGGTTGAGTCCGGACGTAACCTGAGTTTTGGAATAATTTGAAGTTATTAACTATTTTAAAAACCTCAAAGAAAATCACAACATATGTTAATTAGAAGTTAAATAACCAAAAGCAGCGTTGTAGTCGCAGAACGCTGTGTAAAGTCTTGTTTGACTTCTAAATTAATATTTGTGTTCCGTATTATTTTTACATAAATATATATATTTAACATATATATGTGTACTAAATAATTATCTCCTTTTATATGGATGTATAAAGTATTGCAATATGTAAACATAGTGAGCTTCAATTTAGAATTCAGTTTCATTTTCAGTTTAGTTTCTTATCAATTCTTAAGACAGTCTGCTTGTACTTAAAATTTAAATCTTTTGGCTAATAAATTTTGTCGAATTTTGCTTAGAAAATTGCATAAAAAATTGTATAACTTGATTATCCGTATGCCTTAAACTTTGTTTATCTATCGATATATTTTCTCATATCGTTTTCTCCATCTTAAAAATTAGGCTGCTAATATGGTAAATTAAGTTTAACGTTTCTTAGATAAAATGTTTATGTTCTGTTCCTTTTTCTTAAATGATTAGTTTTGCAAAACAATATATTCATGATAGACTAAAATATAACCTCCGGTATATTACAATATCTTTATCGTTTCATAGAAAAATATTGAAATATGTTCGCCTTATCTCCTAATGCTTACTTCTGAATTAATATCTATCCCAACTTACAAACGATCCTAACTTAGTAACCATTGAAACAATATTATTCCTCACTTAGCATAGCAAAAATTAAGATTTGATGGAATATTTCATAGTAAGAATTCTTCTTTCCTTCTGGTATCTCTAAAATATTGTAAGGGAAGGCACTATTTGTATTAATGGATTTATACATGTCTCCCGACCAGTTTGTGCCTTTACCCGCTGGGATGGTATATAATTCCGTTTGGTTCACCTTCGTAGTCCGAAACTATCTCAGTTGCTCATTCAGTCATTCGTTCATTCTAACAGAAAATTGCTTTCTTATTATTAAATGGGTTTGTTTCACCCAGACTGCAGAAATTTAGGTGTGCTAATGCTAGTGTTTATTCAGACTTAAGAATCACTGCTCTTATCTCTGCTTCGCCCCCCCCGGGGTTCGACGCAGAGAACTCTGTGAAGCTACTGGCTAGGATCTGTATTTTGACAGGCTCAGCCACGGGGGCATAAAATCATGAAGCTTTGCGGTTCCATCTGCTCGGCTGGGAGCTACCTGAGACGAAACTTCTTTAGCCCAGTCGGGTGGGCTGGCATAAGTCGTGGAACAGATAGTTCTGTAGGTCGGTGCGGGATGATATCGAGTTTGCTAGGTAATGTCCTGATGAGAAGCGCAGTCCGCGTAGTACTGGCAGCTGGTATTTTTAACAGCCAGTCAAATCTCCAGGCGTGCATTATCTCCGCTACTCTGAAACCTGAGGAACGGGAATGGTAACCCCGCAGGACCAGGAAGTAGCAATGGTCGTAGAGAATCTTTTAACGTCTGTCACCTCGGATTGAGAGCTCGGGGTGGTGGCAATATAGGGTATTTTTATCCTGTCGGGGAGCTATGGCTGGCGACTCATCCCAGCGACTAGTATGGGCGTTTCTTAACTAGGGCCACTTCGTGTAGTGTCTTAGTCCCGGAACACGTATACAATTATTATTATTATCTCAGCTTGTCTAAGTCCATGTTCCAGGAAGTATATCTGCAAATTAGAAGAAAAAACTCGGTGATAATATTGCGGAAAATTTTGTTCATTCATTTGCCATCGGTATATGTCTCTTAATAACATTACACTACTGGCGATCAAAAATGCTACACCGTGATGAATAAGAGATATCAAAGGAATATTTACTATACAAGGGTGACGTGACTAAAAATATAGCCCCGTTCGACATGAGGAGCACAAAGAAGTCATTATTTTGTGCAGCACTAATGGCTGGATATAATTTCCGTGACATTGTTCAGCACTAAAAGAAAGAGACTCATATGCATGCAGCTTTTTAGTTTAATTGAGTACTGTAATAACCAGCTACTAGAGCTGTTGAGCTTGAGATGTCTACACAGTCAATCTGCGAATTTGATGAGTTATTAGCATGTATTAGAGCGTAAGACCGGAATTCCCATTTCCGGAGCTTAAATGTTATATAAATTTTATTTCGCGGTTTACTGCTTTAAATTTTTGAGTTCTTGAAACTTTTTAAGATTAGTACCTAAAAATTACTAATTTTTAGTTGCATGTCAATAATTATTTCAAATACACGCTTAAGTTTTCCTTCTTGTCTGTGTCATTAAAGTTTAGTCAGACTTCTGTTTAAGTCGAAAAAAAAATTCGTCAGAGCAAATGAAGATTATTATTAGAAAAGCGAACATTTAAAAATACTAAAGTCTTGTAAATTATAAGGTAAAAATCAAACATGGAAAATCTCATTGACACAATAATAATTTTTCTCCTAAATTTGCCACTTTAACAATTGTTTTTTTCTACTAAAGTAGATATTCGATTTCAAACCAAATTAAATGTAACATACATTTTCGGACATTTATTTTTATGCTGCATGGTATATTCTTACTTTTGTGCAAGTTACTTTCTTCATTACACATTTCTTTGACAAATGCTTCAACATTTAAGAAAAATTCAGCTATTACAGCGATTTCTGGGTCATCTGTCGAGTGGGCTGCCTCTTCCGGTGTTGTTCCAAGACACTTCAAGAATTTCTGTCGTAGACACTCAAAAAGGTCCATGATTACTCTTTAAAAAGAAGAATAAATTTTTACAAAAAAAGCAAACATTTTATAAAACCCATAAAATTTTCCATATAATGTTAACATGTTAATTTCTAATACTATGTATTAATATTCATTCTCTAAATTTGGAAGAGTAATTTCAGTTGGAACTCTCTATAACAACTCCTCGCATTCTTAAATAATGTTATATTTAAGAAGAGTCATTAAGAAGAGCCTCTTTATAAAGAGTCACTTTAAGCGGATTGAATGAATCGCGTGTCAGAGCTCGAGAGTAATCTCACAACTTCAGAAGACTCTGTAAAGTAAACGGTCGTTATAACGAGCACTGACAGTTTTTAATTTATTACAATGAAGTATCATTTATTTCTCATTACATGCAAAACTAATTTCAAAGGTGAATCAGAGAAAAATATGTCTCAGTAAAATAAGTATTTTTAAATGAGTGCTATTGCTACGCCATCATTCTACATTGCCCTAAAAAAGTCTTTATCTTAATGAGTATAAAAAACAATTTAGTCCCAAGTAGAGCGGCAACGTCGTTGTCCGAGAGGTTATGTTAAGCCGTGTGTAGCTTGCAAATTTGCTCGCTTCGTCAGTTTGCAAGCAGCGATAGTTCCGTGCAATGCGAGGTAACCAAACCGGAAAGCGTGTGACGAAGTGGCGACTGCATGAAAGTGGACTGTACACCGAGAAGACTTGTCGTTTGTGTTTCTTGGGCCCCATCGCGTATCAGAGCGCGGTTGAATTCGTCTTATGAACATCATAGTTGGACAATAGAGCCATGGGCCCACAAACTCCTTACGAATGCGTCTCGATTTAACATATAGAACGCTTCCCGAATGACAATGATATGCCCTAGGGAAACGCTGTCGGACGCCAGCATCTTCGAAAGAGACCATTACAGAGAAGGAGGCTTACTTGTATGGGCTGGGAAAGCAACGAATTGCCACAGGTGACTTCTGGTGGTTCCTTCGCAGCCATCTGATATCGCGACAAAATTCTACTCCGTCTTGTGCGCTTTTTTATATCTGCAATGGGTATCGACGCCATATTTATGAGCGATAATGTAACCCGTACAAAGTTCGAGTGGTACGGAGTTATCTTGAGAGTGAAACCATTCCATATCTACTGCAGGTTGCTAGATGGCTATTGCTGAATCCCATTTAGCTTCTGTGGGACATGTTAGTACGACAGATAGCAGGCTGCAGTGTTTGCGTCGGGCATCCTCCATGAGCTCCGACATGCATTACTAAAATAATAGGCACTAATGCCCAAGAACATCGCAATTGGACACCAAAGAAATGGGACCACGTACTCTTTACGGATGAGTCTCGATTTAACATTCAGAACGATTCCCAAAGGGCAATGATAGGGCGAGAACCTGGAATATGCTAGAGGGTGCTAAACATCGTTAAAAGAGAGGAGGAGGAGATTTATTTATATGGGCTGGGATAGCAACGAACGGCCGCTCTGACCTCTATATGATTCCTGGTGGTTCTGTAACAGCCGTCTCATATCCCGACGAAGTTCTACACTCTCTTGTGCGTCTTTTTATTGCTGCAGTGGGTAACGCTCCGATATTTATGGACGATTAACGTCTGCTCGCATAGAGCTCGAATTGTACAGAGTTATCTGGAACGTGATAACATTCCACATGTATCGTGGCCTGCTAAATTACCGTTACTTAATCCCATACAGCATGTGCGAGACATGATAGTCCGATGGATAGCAGGTAGCATTGTGAGCCGGTCACCCTCCATGAGATTCGACATTCATTACTACAGAAATAGGCACTATTACCACGACAAGCAATGAATGTTACTATTGCCAGTTTACCTCACTGCTGTTCAGCAAGCATTTCATCTAGAGAGTTTGATACCCGTTTTAAGCGTAATGTTTCCATTGAACATTTTTTCGATCCATTTTGTCTTTAACGACGTGATGGTTGTAATACATGTGTTTTTGTTTGTCCGTATTGTTTGCTGTGTGATTTAGTATTGTCACACCAACCTCTTGGAGAAATTTCACGCATCTCCATTGAACAGTTTTTATTTAATCCGTATTTTGGCTTCGTTTCTTATTTTTTCAGCAGAAGTGTATATAATAAGCATGGAAAAAAAATAAAAAAGAAAGTACTAAAATAAAAAGCGCAAGGCTAGACACGTAATTTGAAAAACTGAAAAAATTTTAAAAATATGTTTTATTAGACTTAAAAGACCTTTTGAAGATCAGTTTATCTTAAAACTTCACTATTCTATATATTTGCCTGCCCATCGAATGACAATGTTAAAGGTGACAAATATTTGTAGCTTCAGAAGTAATTTATTAGGAAATAACCGAGGAATAATTATTATGAGAAGCAGTATAATAATTATGAAGAAAAAAACGGTTTACGAATAGCTTGCATATTGGAATTCGGAAATACTTAACTTACACCTTACATTTGACTTACGCATACGCTTTCAATAATTCATTTAAAAATTTCTATAATTATTATTTACACTGCACATTCATAATTTTAACCTATGTAATGTTGTTAAAGAATTATTTTGAATTTTGCTTTATTTACATAACATTTCTAATAATGTCTTCGTAAAAATATAATATGTACTGTGCACAGCATTATGGGTAAAAAATCATCAATCTTAGCTGACATTTTTTTGGACAAAATGAAAGGTAATGTCCATTTAAAATGCATACTTTAAAAATAATTTGGATCATATTCTTTTAAATAATATCTGTTAGACCAGTGCTCCGCAACTTTTTCTCACCTGCGACGCACAAAAAAATCTTTCTGGAATTTCGTGGCACACCAAAGAGTTCCGAGTTATCAAGGAAGTGCCGAAATAATTCAAATGCTGACACACGTACAATCACACACACAACCACACAACAGTGAAATATATAAAAACATTTAAAATAGACATTATTAAAGGAAAAATATTGTCATTGTGTATTAAATACATGATAAAAAATTGTAAAACGTCAAATACATGTATTTGATTGCGGCACACCTATATCCTACTCGGGGCACACCAGTGTGCCGCAGCACACCGGTTGCGGAGCACTGTTTTAGACCACCCAAACCAACTAATTTTTAATATGGATTTAAAAACAATTTCTAAATTTTTTAATTGAAAAGCGTAAATGGCAATCATTCCATATTCATATAAAGATTATATAGTTGCTCAAAATTTCTTGAAATTTTCTCTAATGGTTTCAGAGAAATTATGCGCACTAGGAAAAAAATTATAGTTTTCAAAAATCTTAACTTCAAAATATAGTTAATTTCAAACCTTGTATATCCACATTATTTTCTCAATAAATACTCATAATGTTGTAAATACACTAATTACATATTTCAAGGGTTTTGCATATATAATTACCATAATTTTAATTAAAACATTAAAAATTAGTCGTCAAAATTTCACATTTATTTATACATTTTAATAATTTTATATCAGAAGCACAATAGTTAATACTTTATATAGATAGAATGTTATTTACAGAATTAATAAGTATTTTTACACAATTAACGAAGGTTAAGGTTAAGTTTATTATGCCTTTAATTAATCTGCATGCAATAGTTGTAGAGTTATCAACAAACGTTTAAGCGGCTTTAAGCCTAACGAAACACCATTTGTTTGTATTTAAAACTCAGTATAATAGTGAATTAAGTCAGTTTCTGCACTTTCAATGTCTTTTTGCAAGTGGGACCAAAAGTTAACATTTTGTTTGTTCACCGAAATATCTGCCTTCTTGATCGATAGCCGAATCGCTTTTTTGCGTAGAAATTATAATTTTAATTGTAAAAACTGCTTTTTTTTAACTGTATTTGGTGTTTCGTGTTTTTCTATATTGTACAATTTCTATGAAGTTTTTTTTTTTTTTTTTTTTTTTTTGCGTTTTAATGTATTTTTGTTTTGCCTCGAAACGAGAACTGAATTAATTTAATGAGAAATATATCTCTTATGAAATTCGAGAAAATAAATTTTAATGAAATGCAGCAAAAATTGTGTGTAATGTGTAATAGGCCATACTAGGAAATCATGTGGGGTCCACATCAGATTTTTTTAATTGTATAAATATTTTTTGCTCTTTGAACGTCCCTGGATATAGTCAAGTATACAATGAATACTTCCTAGAAGCCTACAGGAAATGCTAATTGCTGCATTACTATTAATGTATCACAATTAATGTTTCAATACAAAGACACTGGATCATAATTAAATGAAATTTTTATTTGATTCTCATTAAAATAACAGTCGTTGATCAAGATATCTATTTCGATTTTATTTATTTTATTCGAAACTGTTTTAATGAAACATTTTACAAATCATATTCCTCAAACAAAATAACTGAATGCAGTTCTAAGAGGATAGCTATGAAGTTTTTATTAAAATAAATAAAAGGGGATTCTATACATACGGACACATTCGTCGTAACTCTTCTTCATTTGGTAAGCCGTTAAACTCAATTGCATCTGCCTCTAACTCATTCACGCAGTCTCTCGGTATGCCTTCACAAGCTTTGCTAATTCCGAAGAGTCCTAAAAGTGGAGTGAAATGCAATAAAAGACTATTTAGTGTATCATAAATAAGTAAATCAATAACTTTTTCATTAATCTTAATCAAACAATAGATTATTTTTCTAAATAAAAATTCAAATTAAAATTTATTGAATAGAGGTATTCCTAAATAAAAAGAGCTAATGTTTTATATACATAGTTGAAGGTACTGCGTTTCATCTTTAGACATAGGCTAAAGATAGTGTATGCGACATCGACGAAGCATTAGTAAATTGTTAATAAAAATTGAGGCAATTTAACATAGTTAAATCTATCGTTTTCTACTTTCAGTGCTCATCGCCTTGTAGGAGAAAGAAAATTAAAATTGAAGGAAAACCAGTTTTCCACACTTTATATTAATTTAGATAGTCGACAATAATTAGCTGTTAATATTAGCACACTGTGAGACGGATATAAAGATAACAGAATTATTAATTGCACCTGTCGCTCTGATTTGGGTTAGAATTTCTCCTCTCCGGAAAGCTATTCAGAAACAAGAATATAATATATTAATTTTAAAGGATATGAAGTAATTCTGGCATATTTAATGAAGTAAGAGATAGCTATATAAATTCTTTATCTTTAATCCAATTCAAAGAAAAAATGAGAAACGTTCATCATATGTAATATTAGCTACCGGTTCAGTAGTGAACAATATGTTTCGCGAGCAGTGTAGTTAGGTTATTTGACTGTGGCAAAACAAATGAGGGTTATCTACCTAAAGGATGCCTTCTTGGAAAGGGATGACTTCATGAAGGACTTCCTAAGGGAAACTGGCGTTGTATTTGTGATACAAAATTTTAAAAAAACACCCTCATCGGTCTACCAGAATTCAGCGGTCTTAATCACTCGGCCATTGGTGGGGACAACTAGACAATAGTCGTCGTGAACGTCTTAGGTTTAGAATTCAAATTTATATGCCAATAGTTAATATTACAGTTAATATATTGTCTTTATACATTACGTTCCAAATATTATGCTATGTATAACATTATTATTTGTCTAGAATCTATCACAACTACTTTACAATCTACTACAACTATAGTCAATAAGTATATTTTGCAAATTTTTTATTACGGAGAAAATACTGAAACTTAATTTTACGAAGACTCTTATTGAGAGAGAAGACTGCTTTCTTAGTACGAGAACTAATGTTTTATGCAATCTACGCAGCGGGAGAAAAAACATTCTCCAAGTAGTCAACTACCCAACAGTTCAACACCAAAAACCCAAAGTACCACCCATTCAGGATAGTGGTTAGTAGCTCTTACTGCCGTACCGAAGAAATCCTGGAGATGTCACGTATGTTTGTAAATGCATAACGTCAGTGCGGCATAGAGGCACTCTAAATATGCGGCGAGCCTTAAGTCCTCTAGAGAGGTTGGTGGTAGAGAAAGAGAGAGTGGAAGACCCTCGGACCCGGCTTTCCCGGGTGCTCTCCATTTAAATTTGGGGTAGGAGCTGAGCAAATTCGCACTGTAACCTGTATGGTGCTCAAGGCTGTTACGAAAGGCCCAATGTTGCCCTCCTTGCCACAATGAATTTCGTGGGCTTGTACTGTTGTTACTGTCAGACAAGTGAGGAAAGTCACAACAAAAACAACAGGCCCAAAGTTAAATGCAAAATGCTGAGGATTACTGGAATTGGGCTTGAATAAAATGAAGTTTATTTCATATATTAACAAAAAAATGAGAATACTGATGGTTTGGTATTCATTTAGAAATGTATAAAAGTATGTTTCAAATAATAGCGCGTGGATCAATCTTCAGCTGCTTTAAGCTGGCAGGGCCGCGGCTATGAAAAATAAAGCAAACAGAATTGTTCTTTAATCCAGATAATATTCTATATTATAATTATTGCTTAGTTAAATTTTTCATTAAGGAAATGCCGCAGGAGAAATTCTTGATTGCATTACACAAGATGTTATTTGCCTCATTAAAGATCTGTAGTTATGTTAAACGGAATTTAGATGTTTTTAGGACAGATATGGTGTATGTGGAATTTACTTTTAGCTTTTTTAATTTCACAAATAAAAAAAATTCTGGGTTTGAAATCCTTAAATTAAGTACATCTTTTTGTCTTTCTACTTATAAGTTAAGCCACTTGAATCAGTATAAGAATTAACGGTGGCGGATTTTCTAACGCTAAACCTGGGCTTGAAAGAAGCCTTGGTTAGAAGAGAGCTTGGGTGGAAGAGGCTTGGATGTTTTAAGCGCATAGTGCCTTTGTGGCATTAAAATGCATGGCATTTCCTCTCGAGAGGTATGGTGGTAAAGAAAGTGAGATATAGGACCACGAATCCCTTCTCGAGATATTTGCTATTAAAACTTGGATCGGATCTTCTTCTTTCTCATGGATTTAGTTCAGACTTTCCCTGTGATGCACCCTGGGCAAGTTTCTCGGGAATAAAATGGCTAAATAATTGATGGATGTTTGAGGTTTTCTGACGAATGCCTTTCTAAACATATAGCTGGCTATTTTGAACAACAATGTTTAATTAATATTCAAAAGATTGATCATATAAATATTGTTTTTCGCATTTTGATAGCTTTGCTAGAAAACAGTCATAAAATTTTAAAGCTGTTATCAAAATTACAGACAATCTGAAGGGTTTCAATTTTTTCTATATTCTCATGCAATTTCTTGGAAACGTTTATAAGGATCCATATGTAGTTTTAAGTAAAATGTTAAATGTGGATTAAATTGCTCAAGCAGAATATTTATTTTTAGATCAGTCTTATAAAATTAAATTCTACATTCATTTCATGAATGGTTAAGAAGATGTTATCGAAATGATACGAATGAAAGGTGTCTTGTTTCAATCCTTTGATAAAATTGCTTATCTACTATTTCTCTGAGATGTAACTATTTATTTAATTATGAGATCTAAACAAAGAGTAATAAAGCGAAAGATATTGTTAATAGTATTAGATTTCAATAATCAGGACTTGTATTCCTTTTAATTTGTTTCGGGAACATGACGTAATATAGTAACAGGGAGCTTACTCAAGCTATGTTCAAATATGTGTGGAATGCACGACACAAGCAGGAAGGGTTAACTTTACTTACTTTAATATTACAGGTGCTCCCGCACTTCGAGATACAAAGACCAATCACTTGTGGTCTGAACGTAAAAATATAAAAACTACTAACTAACTAAAAATAAGAGTGCTTTACATAAATGACTAATGCTAAGACTGGCCTTTTAAATTATTACGTATGTAGTACGCAAATTGCCAAAACTACAATACGTTTTAAATATCAAGAGGATTAAACCTCTTGCCTTAAAGGCGGACAGCAGCTGATTGGAAACTCGCGTATAATACATTGGCAAGGCTCCTCACTTTCTCCCTATCCAGGGGTCTCCAAACTACGGCCCAAGGGCCAAATCTGGCCCGCGAGCACTAATAATCCGGCCCGCCAGGGGTTTCTTTAAAATATTTTTTTTAATTTAAAGTAACAAATAACATACACATTAAATATTTTATAATAACAGCCAATCTAGAAATGCGTTGCCTATCATGCGCGTTGTATATAAAACATAATATAGACATTATACAATCATTTCTAAATTTACTATGAGGGAAATACGCTCTATATAAAAAATCTGATGTGGACACACATGAATTCCTCATATGTCCTTTAAATTATACGTATTTTTGGCCGCACTTCATTTAAACTTATTTCCTCGAATTTCATTATAGATATAGTTCTCATTCAATCAATTCAGTTCTCACTTCGTGACGAGGCAAAATACATAAAAACGCAAAACATCTTCAACAAAAACAGGAGTTGAAAATGTAAACAAATAGCGACTTTAGTAGGCTTAGTAGCACTTAAACAACTTTAAAATATTGATAATTCTACAACTATTGCATGCAGATTAAATAAAGTCATAAAAACCTTAACCCCCTGAGTCACTTCGAAAGCAAAAATCGCACAATCTACAAGGATATAAGAATAAAAAACTAAACTCCCCGTCTCCGGTAACAGACTGGGTAGATATACATAGAGTTCTGATGCAGCCGATTGCAAACCAAAAGGGAGGTGCACAACTACATGTTATACATGTCCCATATACAAAATTTCAACGTTTTGAGGCCACTCGTTTTCGAGTTATGCGAGATACCTGCATACGTACGTACAGACATCACGAAAAAAATCTCTTCTGAATCCATTTTGAGAAAAAGATTCATTTATTCTGTCCGTACGAACAGATGTCACGCCAAAAAAAAAAGTTCAAATGGATTCGAGAGAGAGAGAGAGGTCAAAATGGATGTTTTCGTTGAAATATGATATCCGAAATTTTTCGCGATTACAATACTTCCCTTACTTCGTACAAGGAAGTAGAAAACTCTCATTGTACTCTTTACAAGAATAAAGGTTTCGTGTGTTATCTTTTCTAGTTTTTATAGTAGCATTCTAAGTTGCTTCATAGAAATTTTCAGTAGTGATTTTATTTAAATCTTAATTTTCTATATATGTTGTAATTTATTTTAATTTTCGAGATTTTTTTAAACTTGCTTATGGAGCGAATGTTTGCAGCTGATCAAAATGTAAACAAAATGCGCTGATAAATCAATTGAAAAGCAAAGTACATACTAAACCGAAGAAATCTAATATTCTTGGACAAAATTATATTTTTGCAAATGTTCAAAAACAGCTTTAAGAAATTTATGTTAGGTGAAACTGCATGAAAGTCTAAAAAAAAAAGGATCTCTTTGTAAGGTCATAGTGTATAGATCCAATCACAAAAATCTTACTGCCTCGTTTAAAAACTTGTATGCTGTTCATCATAGTTGCATCGCCATGGATGATGAACTAACTGGATCTTGGCCCTCGAAGCTTCGTTAAAGCCCCAATATGCCCCGCGGGCTGAAAAGTTTGGAGACCCCTGTCCCTATCTAAACTCTGCTCTTGGCGAAAAGCCACAACTTAAATACTTGGGCGTTAGCAAGTACAATTTGCGTAAACAAGTTAACGGGTTTAATTTTGGCCGGAAGTGGAAAAGAAGAGCGGATAGTAATGTTTTAAAATAAAATAAACGTTAGAACAACTTAAGATCCTTACACAATTACTAATTCATTTTTCTTCATTTAAATACCTCATATGTATGGGACAGTTAGCATCTTCAAACATATTTTTCATTTAACAAGTTGAGCGCCACGCGTATGTTTTAGGCAATCCCGGTCAGGCCACGCGCTTCGCTTAAAAACGCTGGTATTGTAGGGCCAGTGATTCGTATCGCGGTAGAAGATAGCGACAAGTTGTGAAAAAGAAGACATTCCATCGAACAAAAATGCAAGAATATCTAGAAAACGACAACATAAACTCCGAAGAAAACCGGGAAAAGCCTCTGAAGTACGAAAATATTGTAAATTATGTTATGATAAAAATGCAACAAAAGCTGGTAGAGTAACGGCCAGAAAAAAGACTAAAAGAGTGTTGTCACATTTTGTAATAGCTGTAATGGAGAACCGTTTTATATTTACCGTGTTTCAATGAAATCCAATGAATCAAAATTAAGTAAATTTTAAATAAATTTTGTGTAATTTCATAAAATAGTGTAAATTTTATAGTTATATGTCATGTTACACGCTGTCAGCCAGCGGCGGTCGACGCGGCCTAAACGAAAAGGTCTAGTGTCAGCCACAAAATGGCTGACGCGACCTAAACGGAAAGTTTAGTGCAGCCACAGATGGCTGACGCGGCTAAACGGGAATTCTAGTGTCAGCCACAGATGGCTCACGCGGCCTAAACGGAAAATCTAGTGTCAGCCACAGATGGCTGATGCGGCCTAAACGGAAAAGCTAGTGTCAGCCACAGATGGCTGACGCGGCTTAAACGGAAAATCTAGTGTCAGCCACAGATAGCTGACGTGGCGCTCAACGAGTTAAAATATAAGAAAGACCTTTTATGAATTTTCTTCCCTTGAAATTTTATTTTGTATCACATAGTGACATTTCATAAAAATAAAAAATTGCCTTCTCCATATTTATGAAACTCAAGTTAACTTGCTGAACAATAACAACATCATTAATTTCTTCTTCATTTGCTTATTCCACCTACTTGAAAGAAGGAAAAAATGTCAACATTAGCTTTTTCAGTAGCAATCGCTTGTATTATATTAAGATCATATTTTAATATTATTTTTTCCGTCTACAAATTTTAGTTCCACAATATATTTTCATGAAAATGAAAAGACATAACTCTCCCACCAAAATAATAAAAATAAAATATATATTCTTTTCAACAACATTTAAATTTGAAAACATTATAGAGTCATTAGGTATGTTTAGAAGCAGGAGACTTGAAAAATGAGCAAAGCCCTCGCCGGGAATCAAACCACTGGAATACGCGCCCAGCGTGCAGACCACCACACCACGAAGACGGGAGAAATACCTTATATACTCCCCCTTTTAAAGGGCGACTGGGGTTTTTAGGGGACCCAATTGCCGAATCCTGGGTGTGGAGAATCATCATCCATCAACCTTTTAGTTCGAGCGCCACTTGTAGAGACATTAGGATTTTCGACTACATCACCTAAGAAAGCAGGATAAATGCCTTATAGTATTATAACACAATTATATCTTTTATTATTGTTTTTCCATAGTATATTTAGGCTGCAGGAGTTTATTTTAATTTTTAATACTTATTTTATAGAAACATTAGGCTATTTCGAAGCAGGAGACATGAAAAATAAGCAATGTCCTTGCCGGGACTCGAACCTCTCGAATACGTATCGAGCAACCTTTCAATTATACCACGAAAGCATGCTAAAAGGCAGGAGAATTACCTTATAATTTCTAACTTTGAAATCCTTTCCATTACGTTCTTGTTTCCTTCCTACAATCAACTGTCAGAATGAGTTTTCAGTATTGCGTTTTGTGTAAAAGACGTAGAACCAGAATTTATGGGAAGTTCAGTCACTTCCGTAGAAGAGCCCAGAAGTTCTCAGTAGAACGTGTTCTGCCTGCGGGACATACCGTTGCTTCAAGCCTATCTTACTACGTTCGGCCGTGTTCTTACGTGCCTGTTAACATTCACCGGTAAGTTTAAAAACGGGCCAACTCGTTTTGCATCACGGAATACCAGAATTCAAGGAAATTCAGTTTTTAACAGATTCATTTAAGATAACAGACGAAATTATCGTTTGGAATAAAATTAAAATCGAACCATGTTTCAGAGTATAATTAATCGTAAGTGATAAAATTAAATGCAGTCATCAAACTAATAAGATTATAATACCTAAATGTATAGAGTAGAAGTTGAAGGACTTCTCTCTTCCTGAAAAAGGTCGACGTCAACATTTCCCCCCCCCCCAAAAAAAATATCTAAAATCAGAGATAATAATTAAAAACTCTGAAAGCAGTAATTTTCGCCCTAATTTTTCCGAGTGACAACAGTCTCGCACGCTGGAGATAAAAGTCTGCTTTATTTCAATAACTATTGCCACTGCTCTCTTTCAAATCCTAGAGTTTGCTAATAAAAATTTATGTTTTACAATGAAATAAAAACAGCATTGCCAAATATTAAATAAATTATTCCCGATTCCAAAAATTCGTGAGAAGTCATTTTGATTATTCCCGTGTTGGTATGATTTTAATCAACGGAAACAATAATTAAAAACTCTGAAAACACTAATTTTCACATTTCTCCCAGTGGCAACAGTCTTGCAAGTTGGAGATAAAAATTCTTTATTTCGAAAGTGTTGCTATTGCTCGCTTTCAAATCGAAGAGTTTGTTAATCAAAAATTATTAAGAATTACAAAACCTATATATATATAAAAGAAAAACGCCTGTTTGTGTGTTTGCTTGCTTTACTGATTTTTGATCAATTATGATCAATTTTTTTGCCACATTTAGCCAACTAAAATTGAATATAGGTGAAATATAGGATGGAAGAGCTTTTACGACTATTTGATTAGAAAGACAAAAATCATTAAAATCTGCGTGCCATTGTTGCTGATATAAAGAGACAGAATTACTTTATTTTTTAATCGAAATTTTTTATGTGGGTTCCATACCGCATCAGACTGAAAAATGTACGACTATGAATCGTACTTTTTTCATCGTTATTAGAGAAGTTTTACAGCTATATATCGTTCTCTCTGTTAGATACATTATTCTCAATCTAACTTAACTGGCGTCGTGTACTCCGCTAGTAACTGGATAATTATATGTTCCAAACCCTGTAACGGCGTATTTTATTTTTATTTGCTTGTTCCAAAAATTCCTAATAGCTGTACCACTCGTAAGAAACAATAAAAAAACGCCCAAACGGGCATTTGTTTTTTCATTTACAGACATATACACGTTTGGAGAGCATTTGGGCTAACGCTACTTTGGGCTAAATATATTTAAAAACAATATCTTAGAATTTCCGATAAACATTCTCGCACGCTAGAGATTAAAATCTTTAATACCCTATAGTGTTGCCACTGCTCGCTTTGAAATTGTTGAGTTTTTAATCAAAGTTTAAAATATATGAAATAGACAATAAAACAAATTCGAAATTCAAGTTTCGGGTTTCAGTGTATCAGGTGGAGGACTCCGTTATTCAAAATTTAATAGCTCTAGATGCATTTCTCTTGTTTTTGACAGTGCTAGAAACATACATACATTCATTCAGATTTGTCATTATATATTATATAATACACGGCGACAATATTGGGTGGCAACAATTTGAAAAGTGATACAGCCGTTTATATCGATACGACGCAAAATGCCATTTCAAGATTGATAGCCTTTCTGGTCTAATGCCGCTTTGGGCTAAACAGAACCAAAATGTTAGTATTTAAGATTCTGGAATATTCTGCATTTTAAAACTGCTCAGATTTAATTTCTCAAGTTCCATGACTATTCGAACATAGGTCGAATTGGGAATTTTACTTCTAAACTCTTAAATCTTTTGATAAATGGTAGCGCAGTAACTTGTGACTGGAATATCATGTTTTGACTGCATATTTGGAAAATAACAGGAAAGTGATTTTTTCTAAATCCTCTACATTATGACTTAAATGTGTAAAATTTATAGATGTATTATTTAACACTTAAGAACTTAAAGCGACGCTTTTTTTTGTGTGTGATGCGTTTAAAATCCATAATTTTTAACACCAGATAACTGAACATTAAAGGAGCCAAAATTTCTCAGCAGCCTATTAGAAACTTCATACTAATAATTTTTTCGGAACATTTATTTATGAAAACGTTTTATGATAAATCACAATATTATTTTAAAAAGAAGTCTTTAGAAACTCACCAAAAATAAGCAGCAAGGTCAAGCGTAGTTTCGGCATATTTAATATCGGAGTAAATACTTTGTGCAAGAAACTCTTTCAATCTTTCGACCAGGAATTCTCTTCCGATATCAGGCGTCTGGTTTTATAAATTCAAATCAGAATTGCGTTTTTATACCAAGTGGTTTGCAGTTGTTTATTTTAATAACAGGAAACGAAACTTTAGACAGGCAGGAAATCCTTAAGTGATAGTCGATTTTAATATGCAAATTATGGACGAAAACTTTCATGATACCCGATGGAAGTTTCCTTCAGAATCAAGAGCTCATTTAAAATGAAAAAGCATATCTTTTGTATTAATGCACTGTTTCCTTTTCTCCTTTAACCTTAACATGTGTAAATTAATTAGAATATTTTGCTCTGAATTCATCATCCTTGAAATATTAACTGATAGACGGAGCATTCGATATTACTTAGAAATGAATATCTGCCTATGTATGTTATTCTATAAATATCATACTCAGGATATAATTATGCTTTCACTACAATAGAATTTCAAGGCAGGTGAGATTAATTACATGAAAATTGACTTCAAAATAATTAATCGGATAATACATTTATCACGTATTCATGATAAATGATTGACAAAATAAGAAGTGAAGTATTTTGTAAAGGGGAGTTGATAAATTCTAGTATTAGAGTAAGATTTTTAAAAGGCAGGAAAATTTTATAATTTGTGAAATAGTACTGTGAGAATTTAGGTTTGGTTTAGGTGAACATGGCAAAGTGCACTAGGGCTATCTGCCTAAGGGAAGGGATAGCCTTCATGGAGGACTTTCTAAAGGAAACAGCATTTACACGTTACACATGCGTAAAACCTCGAATACGCACATGCAGTGAGCCTGTTCACCTGGAATCGAACCCAAATCGTAACTACTAGTATTCAGGCAATTTTAGTTCTCGGGCCCTCATGGGCCGCTATGCAGCATTAAATGTAAAATGGAATACGAACTCGTAACATGTGAAACGATAAATCTAAAACGTAGACTACAGGCACAATGCTACAAGCATTTCATGCTTTTCAATAATTAAAAAACAAAACCTGCGGTTTTAAGGAAAAACTTTGAAATTTTTATCCTTCTAAAATTCATTTATTATGTTTATGAGACTAACTGTCCCTTTTTGGATTTTTAATCTTTTGTAGATACTATACCTAACTCTTAATTTTTAGTTGAAATCACAAATCTGTAAGTGTTTAATAAAGTACAGGCTTTGCTGTCTGGTCCCAGACAGCAAAGTGGTTAGTAACTCTGAGTACCGTACGGAAGTTTAGATTTAGGAAGGGAAGCATGTAATTTGTCTGTTCCTTCAATAGGAGGGAGCGATGGCCCAAGAAGACTCCATAACGAAGTGGACACCGCTTCGGCCTTAGTAGTGGCAAACGCCTATAATCGGCTAAAGCTGGCCCCTGGAAAAAAGCTCTTTTACTTAACACTGCACAGCCTGTCTCACGTTACAGTTTAGTGTTAGCTGCTCGGCAAGCTCGGATTTACCCATAATTCCCTTTTATCCTAATAACGTCTCTTTTTGAAATGAAACTTTTACAGTAAGGGTAAATCAGTTTGAAAGCGTTAAGAAATCCGTAAAACCTACAGACGGAGTGAGGATTACAGCTTAGAAAAGAGATCCAAAGGAAAGTTTGGCTTTAACAAAAATCCTCATTTATCGTCAAATAGTTAGTTATCTTTTTAAAATGAAACTTCTGAAACGAGGGAACTCAGCATTAGATCTTTACTTTAGGTCTGACTGCCGAACATCAAAGGTTTGCTCGCAAATATCTTAACAAAATAGTTTTTTTTCCATAAAAATTTCAAGAAAAGTTTACATAGGATTCCTTTTCTTGGATTTTGTCTTCTTTCGCATAGGAGAATTTCATAACCATTTACGACGTAAAATCAAGTAATTTTTCTGAACTTTTGTAAAATCATTAAGCTATTTTGAAAAATTATATGTGAAAAATGTGCAATGTCCTCCCCGAGACTCGAACCATAGACCCTCGCGTATGCGCCAAGTGTATTACAGTTACAGCACGAAGGCATGCAGAAAGGAGGAAGAAAATACGTTATGCATTAATATCATCATTACTCTCCTTTTTATCAGGTCGCTGCGACTAATTCAAGAAAGCAATATAACAACATACTCTTCTTCAGCAACATATCCTAGGGTTAAGAACTTATCTCAAAACAATATTTTTCAATATATTTCAATTGCATAATACGTTTTCATGAAAAAAAGGCTATAATTCTTCCACCAAAATAATGAAAAAAAATAAGATACTTTTACACAACATTCAAATGTGTTATAACATAATTAGGTTTTACATTCATTAAGATTTATTTTAGCTATAGTTGTAAGGTTTATCCTAAGTTTTTAACAGTTATCTTTAATTACTTTCCGGTCCCTCCTAACTTCAGTTTAGAATTTCCCACCGGAATGTGTTTTAAGAATCGCGTTTAATGCAAATGAGTAAGAGCGGTATTCAAGTCGAAGTTCCACCGAATTCGTTAAAAAGCCAGAGTTGCTGACTAACGCGCGTTCGCCTTTTGGCTACACTCTCTCTAAGCTATTTGTACGCTCGGCAGTACCTCAGCCCCTTGATAGCTTTACCAGCTTAGTTGATAATTTAGCGGCCAACTACTCAGAAATATTGATAGCTTCGGTTATATCTTTTTAGTTAAGCGTCAGTTTAGTTTATTTTTTATTACTTTGGGTTCAAGCCCAAGGGGAGGCTTTGCTGTACGTCCTGAGAAAGGGACCATCTGTTCAATTCTTATTTTGAGAAATAAAGGGTAATTAACCCTTCTCTTGAGTTTTAAGTATCTGTTTCTGACATAAAGGAATTATTTGCTTAAGTGTTCACTAAGGTTTTACATACTTAGCTCTTAAGATAAAAGGTTGGAACCCCACATAGTCTTCATTCATTTTTTAAGCTAGAAGTAACAAATTATAACATGCCTCAAAAAATAAAAATATCATGATAAAATATTATTCCATAACTGTATCAATACACTGCAATTTAAATATACAAAAAATATTGGGTTCACTGTAAGATATAACTTATAATGCTTTCCTCCCGTAAAAACTGTAAGTACCTCCACTGAGTGTAAGATATAGTAGCTTATAATGCTCACATTTTGACTGCACTTGTCGCATAGAATACTAAAGTTAGAGCAATTATAACAGAAAATTTATAGTTTAGAAGAAAAACAAAAACATTGTAACAGAAGAATTAATAGTGTGAAAGAAAACAGAAAAATTGTAACAGAAAAATTTATGGTTTGGAAGAAAAAGCATAAAACCGAATGATACTTTAGAGCAGCGGTCGTCGTCAACCCTTAGAACTTCACGGACCACTACATATATAATTTTATATTTGGCGGACCACTAATAGGAACTTAAAAAAAGTAAATATATTTATGCAATAATAATCCGCAAACTACACATATTTCGTTCACATTGAAAACTTACATGAAAAGTGCAAAAATCATACCTTCTTGTGCAGAAAGCTTCACATTTCCATCTCACTGAAAATGAACTTCACGAAAAAGCAAGAACAAACCCGCAAACGCAAAGCAATATCAATAAACTGGCAGTGTTATGCCGCTAATTTTTAATTATTGTAAACATAATAATCATAGCTTACTCAGCAATGGCGCCATCGATCAACAGTTAGACGAAATAAAAACGGAAACTTCTAGTGATGCAATTATAAACAAGAATGCAGATGGTTCTCATAAAAATCCATCAAGATGTCTATTGACACGGAGAAAAACTGTGTTATTAACGACCACAATAGCATATGTCTGTAATTTAAAAGGAAAGAGAATTTTAATTCGCGCTATTATTGTTAACAGCAATATGTCTATGGATGCTATCCCTCACTTTCAAATGTCGCTAGATACATCTGAAAAAGTAGCTAATAACTCGCTAAATTCGGAAGAAATTTCGCTAAAAGTAGTAGCTAAAATTTAAAACATGTATAATCTATATTCCGTAATAGGTTTGGTACTCGTCATTTTTTAAACTGAATGTTTATAAAAAAATAAATAATGTCCCAATTTTAAAAATTGTAATTTTTGAATCTGTACATTACAGCAGTTCTCTCGAATCTACCTTTATGGAAAAACCCGTTAAAGCATGTCCTCTTTGTAGGGTTTCCCTTATTTTGAATAACAGATTATTTTAAGTTTAGTACCTTTCCTAAACCTATCATTTTCCCCTCGCATTTCCTCTCCAGGATGCAAATTCAAAGTTAAGTGAAGTGAGTATTAAAACAGACGAACCTTATAGTTTATTCAGAGCGTGATTTCGATGGCCAGCGCATGTTACTAGAGTGTTTTTGCTGTTGCGCTGAGTTACTGATACGCCCATTAGGCTATTTAATAAGTATATCGTCTGGTAAATTGTTAGGTCAGCCTAGTTAACATTAAATTAAATTGTTAGTCCAGCACTGCTCTTTATCTTTCAATTTATTGTGAAATTATTCTTAAGTTCCATTGCGAGTCGTCGGCGTTATTGTAAGAACGAAGTAAGTGTATTTGTGTTAAGAATTGACGAATAATAAAGGGTTTATTTTACCTTTCTTCTGCGCTGTTATTATTCACGCCTATGCGAGAAGTTGCCATGTTCCTTAGTGAGATCTAGAGTTACTTATGTTAGGAAAGAGAGTTAGATCCCACAAGCTGTCGGAGTTGATGATATGTTTCCCACTCAAAGAAGCCAGGGCCGGACCATAGCATTAAGCACAATAAGACAAATGTCTAGAGCCCGGAGGCCAGATCAAGCCGTGCACTTTGAAAAAAAAATTCAATAAAATAAAAGTTTCCTTTTATTTCACAAAATAAATAAAATTTATCCATATACTCAATTTACTATAAATCTGCAGATTTCTTTTTTTTTATTAAGATAAATTGATATAAATGGTCCACTGTATATGAACTAAATTTCTGTAAGTGGGGAATGACACGTGATATTGGGTGCGTATTGCATGGTGCGCAGATGTCTAGTAAAAACATTAAACATAGAAAGAGTAAAGACAAAATGTTCTTTAGTAGAGAGACGATCTGACAAAAAAATAAGCACGGGACCCGCGCGTGCGTGCAG